GCTCTAATGTGTGTCTGTGTTACAATGGCGTTTGCTAGCAACCAGAAAATGACATCAGTAATGACAAACAGATGAGAATGAAGGGTGGGGTCTGGGTGCCGTGCGGTCTGGTTGCGGTGTTTGCGGGACGTTGCGGGGCTCGCTGCTCCACCCTTTGAGACTCGAGGAGCCGACAGTGTGAGCTGTATTGCTGGTGTCGTTTCCTGGTTGCTGCGTGGGGTNATGTGTTACAATGGTGTTTGTTAGCAACCAGAAAATGACACCAGTAATGACAAACAGATGAAAATGCTGCGTGGGGTCTGGGTGCCGTGTTGGCGGGACCGTCCCGCCAACACGGCACCCAGACCCCACGCAGCATTTTCATCTGTTTGTCATTACTGGTGTCATTTTCTGGTTGCTAACAAACACCATTGTAACACATAATCACTGATGTTCCGCTGTAACGGTGGTGGACTCATCAGAACAGAGTGGGCGAGCTGACCAATCAGAGCACAGTGGGCTCATAGAGAGGGGGGGCAGGAGCTCCAACAAGCCGTTTAGGACAGAGAGTGAATACACATACTATACAGAGATGCTGTATGAGAAACCAATGTCATTTTGGAACATTGAACAATGTAAATCTATTCTAGTAGACCTCAAAAATTGAATTATGATCAGTAGAAATGGCCATGACATGGGACATTTAAGTTTAGAAATCCCTTTGCATGGTGCAACATATCCAATGAGCCATTGATGTCAAAACACATGGGAGCTGTAGGTAACTGAATTCTGATTCTGAAGTGTAGCAACATTGCCCATGTAGCCTCAGCTGCACCAGCTTGTCCATCTTAGTACAAGCAATATAATCTAATTTTGGGAAATGAAAAAAAGACATGGTGAAACTGCAAATCATTGGTATTGTTGCAGGAAAATAAAGCCCACAGAATGACTATAGTAGAGAAACAATTGTTGCTCAAATGTTAAAATTGTAATTTGGAAAAGCTGCTCAAGTGAGGAAAGAGGAGCAGAAGACCGGCAGCATGGTGGGAGTGGCAGTGAGGGAGATGGAATAAGAGCGGGAGAGTGACGTTAAAGAAAGAGAGTGTGTGTGGTTGTGTGTGATACTCCACAGCAGGGTAATGTGAGCCTGTGGTCCCAGAGGGGACAGATCACCTGTAGAAACCCCCCACTCTTCTCTATCAAATGCCCCCAACCCCCATAATGACATAAGCGCCCTCCCCCACACATGACACCCCCGCACTTTTCCAAACACCTGCATTCACATGAACAGGAGCTTGAAAATACCAAATTCATGGAAGCAAATCCAGACAGCGTCAGACAAACACTCCCACACGCAGAATATTTGCAGTTATGCCCACTTACACCATTCCAAGGAGTTGGCAGGCCTATTAATACCGCACTTCAAGGACTAAGGGATTGGGCGTTGAGCCATAGGATGCTATCTGGTGACTGATACACACTTGTGTCTCTCTTTCTGTCCTCGGGGTACTGCCGTTCAGTCTGCCTGCCAAGCTGAAAGGTTAGACTGGTTGCATTCCCACAGTAAAACCAAGCTGGCCTAAACAGGGCTGTGGTCAACCTTACGTGTTTATGTCTTCATTTAAAAAAAGAAGAGGCAGTGTACTAAGAGAACTACATACTCAATAGAGTCGCACATTGACTCCGTTCAAAGCTGTTACCCTACGGTGAATTTACTGAAGTTTTCAAAAGAGTTTCAAAACATGTCATTTTTGCATGAAAAATGCAACATTCCTCTCAAGATTAAACTAAAATAAATATGTAAAAACAAACAGTTATAACAGTGCCAACCATAGAGAAACTTAGACAAAAATCTAATCCAGCCTATTAAATCATTATCATATAAGTGCTGCAGCTGATTTAAGCATCACACACCTTTCAGCTGTCACCTCAAGTGAGACTGCATTATTACAGCACAAGTTTCCCTCACATATTCAAGGTAACCAAGATGAGTAATTGATATACAAAGATTATTTTGAGGGGGAAGTATTCCTTTAACTAGCCTCTCCTTCCCAAAGACAGAAGCTGTTTATAACAATAAACTTAGTGTTCACTTATTATATGTGCCCAGCCAGAGAACCTCATGTGCCTGCACATGTTGTTATATGTTATTGTGGAAGTAACAAAGGTGGCAGTGATGCAGAGTAGGGATTAGGGAAGTTAAGACTGTGAGGAGATTTTGATCCAAGGCCAGCAAGGGCACATGTCCTTCCAAAGGCAGGGCGCTTAAGCATTAAACCATCAAAATGTTAGCAAGGGTGGTTAATTTAGGAAGGAAAACCGCACCATTGAGTCCCTTCTTTTGGCATCAACATGATAAAGGAATCACATGAATGTTGAGTTGGAGTAAACTGTGTGGCATAGATAATTAGGAAGCCCTGACTCTTTTTTGCTTGGCTTACAGCAGTGGAAATCAGCCTTAGTGGACTGCAGAAAACTCACACAGACATCATGCTGCAATGGGTTACATTTTACAATCTAGTTTGATAAAGTCTCTAAATATAGACCTACTGATGAAATGCTGCACACATTCACAAATGATAATTGTAGTTGATCCAATCGCTGCCCTCATTGACATGCACAGCTGAAATTCCTAAACCCTCCTGAACCTCCCACTTCCTGCTATCCAAATCAAGTTCTTAATACATTATGATTGGAAATGTCCTGCAGCCTACAAGCACCTTTTTCCATACAGTCACCATCAATTAACTAGAAAGCATAAATGTGTGTGTTATGCTTGCATCAACCCGTATATTGGCAGTCTGATTTCCTCTTGCAGGTTTGGTCAGAGTGAGTTTAACATAGAAGTAGAATAGCCAGAGAATACACTCCCAGCACTAAATCACAAAAATATTATACAGTATTGTTCATACTAAGATGATCTTTTTTTATTTGCTTACCAGCCAAATTTCAATTTAATTGGCCTGTTTGATTATTAACTCAGTGGTTTTATGGCGTAAAGGGTAACTGTGGTCATTATCCACTCAGTGTGATGGTCATTAGTCCGGCAATTCCAACACGTTGTCTACTCACCCCTGCTATTCACACTCTACTGTGAAAGTAAACAGTGGGATGGAGTGTGCTGGTGGCTCGGGCTGATAATGTGCTGCTGAACAGCTTTACCTCACCCTCATTTATCTTATTACTTGTCTGACTCTTTTTCTTTTAAAAGTAGATAAAGTATTACGTATTTTCCCCTTTTCTCTTGGCTTAAATGAACAAACAAATGAAGCTTTGATTTGATTCTAAGTTTTCTCTATTTCATGGTCCCATTCATTTCTTTCTTTGGCACACACACACCACGCCCCTGATAATCATCAGCTCCAGGGCACACTCTATTGTTTCAGCTCAGTGCTAATTACTTCAGGTCTTGACCCCAGGTTCAGCCAAAGAGCAGTAGAGGGGGATGGTGCGTATGCCAATGTGAGTGAGCAGAGGGAAGATACGTGTGTTGGGGGTCGGGTTTGCTGGGTGGAGAGGTCATTGCTGCTGCCAATCAATTGTCACACTGGATTTGCCTAAAAATCACACTATAATCCAGGAGTGAAAACACAGCAGCACAATGAGACCAGGCTGCCAGAGTGCTGCTGTTTTCAGGTATTAAGTATTAATGGAAGGCTTTTATCAACAGCAACTCCTGGAAATATCTGAAACACAAATCCCAGGAGAAAAAGAGATATGGAAATGATTAGGCCCGAAGCACAACAGAATTTGTTAGGCTGCAACCCTGCTCAGTTCTCTTGTCTCTGTCCAGGTTTCTTTTTGCTGGTTTCTCATATTTCTCTGCTTTGTGTCTTGGGCAGAAGAAGATAGATGAGTTTGAGATCAAAAAGGCATAAATGATCTCACCCAAATTCAGTTGTTTCAAAGGTTCCGAACTTAGGGGAAAATGCTGAAACAGACATTAAGAAATAGTTTGATTTCAGGATTTTCCCCCACACTGTCATGGATGCATGTACGTGGAATCAAATGGTATCTAAAATAGAATAAAAGCATCAGTTTCCATCTAGTATAAAAGTAAAGTATATATTGGTCTGAACATTAATCTCATCTGATTCTTGCTCCATTTAACAAAAAAGTGACATTGGAATACAGTTGCAGGCATTTGTGGTATTTGAAAAGGCCTGGAGCTCTTAAGTTGAGTTTGATTACACCTGGCAGCCTCAGAACTGTAAATCACTTGGAAGAAAACACAAATCAAGTACTCCTTGAGCTCTCCTCCTCCCAAGATATTTGCAATAAATCCAAGCACTTTCTCACCCAAGTCCACTTTTACAACACAGAAAAGCCAAAACAACACATTTCAGTTCTAGCTTCATGCTGTAAAGGAGAAGTCTTCTCCCAGGGTGCCACAAGCAAACAAAACCTGTCCAGTATGTGCATTCATTGCAATGCTAAACAGATTTCCAATGCTTCAGCATCACTTAAGGCCCTACTTTCAATTACAATGTCACGGCCACTTAGAGCTGACGGCCCTTTAGACAGGGAGAGTGGAACCTGTGGTGAATTCCAGACAGGCTTTAAAGACCATTATAGGTACTTTAAATATAAAATAAAAACACACTCACGTTTTCAAATGCTTATTTTCTAAAAATACAGCCAACATAAACACATGTAAGCCACATCAGCCAGTATAAATAGATCTGTTCTGGATATTGTCAGAATTAGTGGGGAAGCTCGATTATTTTCTTTGCAGGAGGAGAGTGGTAAAAGAAGAGAATAGTAAGTAAGAAGAAAAGAAAGAAGACAGAAAAGGAGAAAATACTGAAGGAAAGGAGAGGAGAGAAGATGAGACTGAAAATGGGGGAGAGGGGAGGAGAAGAGGGTCGCTTTTCTATTTTTCTCTTGGATCCCGCCCTCCTGGTCAGTGGTTGGTCAGGGAAACCCAACTCCCGCGCACGGATTGGTCGGCTCTCCTCCGGACGAGAATAACAGTCTCTCCTCGCAGACACAATAAAGTTTAGAGCTGGACGCTTGCAGGGAGTAGGTGCAAAACCACAAACGCTGTATCCCGAGGCTGCGCTTCACTTCTACGGACTTATTAACGGAAAACAACGCGAACGGACAGCGGGATTTACCCCAACGTAGGAGTTTTATTGAAAAAAGATTATACGCTCCGATCGCGCAATGATTCCCAGCTGTTTAAAGGATATTTTATTCTACTGAATGGATCGGAATTGGATAATATAGCAAAACGCACGGACTACACGCGCTCCAATCTTCCTGGACTATTCACACCTCACTTTGCTTTTGAGGAGGATATCTCCTGTGGCAACATTTGCTGAAGTCAGGCGCTCAGTGACCATGCCCGGGATGATGGTGTGGTTCAGCGGGGCAGCACTGCTCCTCCTGTCCGGGCTGATGGCTCCGCTCGCTATGGTGCTGGCTTTCGGTGATGAGGTGGAGGAAATGACCTGTGACCCAATCCGGATCAGCATGTGCCAGGGTCTGGGTTACAACGTCACCAAGATGCCCAATCTGGTCGGCAACGTGCTGCAGTCGGACGCCGAGCTGCAGCTGACCACGTTCACTCCACTGATACAGTACGGCTGCTCCAGTCAACTCAAGGTACTGGGAGGATGTGAGAAATGCATACTGATGTTAGAATAGATCATGTTATTAAAAGCGCTCAGGGAGGCTGGGGCACATTTAGGAACACTGATCCTGGACTTTAAAAAGGCATGGCTGAGTCAAAATAGTCTTGCTATATTTGTGTGTGGAGATGTGTAGAGATAGAGATGGGAAGAGTGTGGTTCCAGAGCATATGAAAGGGAGCTACCAGCAATAGTGAATTGTTAGAATGATGGAGCCTGTGATAATGAGGAGTATTTTTAATATAGGTTTGCCCCCACAGAGTTAAAATTAGCAGAGGGGTCCCTGATTTCATCCTTCCCTGCTGTTGCGCCAGGCTGGCATGCTAATTTCAATAGAAATGTCCCCTCTGTCTGTTGACATTTTGAGATCATGCCCCAGACAGCAACAGCTGAGTCTTCCATGTTTTATACTTCTCCTTGTTAACAATGGTGCCCTCAGTGTGCTCAGACAAATGCTGCCTGTTTGCCTCATGCACCATGTAAGAAACAAATTGAATCCTCTTTCCCATCTTTAAGATTTTACTTTAGATTAGAATTGGAACAACTAGATTCAACAAAGATCAAATTGTCTGTGAATGGCATTTAGTTTTTAGGTGTATTACATGTATTTATTTCAAGATGTCCCACATGTAAACACATCATACCAAGATATCTGAATAGAGACATGAGATCCAATGTTTTCTCAGATGTGTCTTTGTAAAGTGTCCAGTTTGGATATGTGTTAGATATCTATTACTACTTTTACAACCTATTCAGAGATTTGTGTGTGCACAGGTGTTTGGGGAAAGGGCCCAAAAATACTTTTCCATGCTAAATTAATAAAGTGCTTAAAGACATTTGTGTGAGACAGTCAGACCGAACATGGAGCAACTGCAGCATAAAACTGTCCTCCAGCTGAAAATTGTCCCGTAACATTAGCTATCCCCCCTCGCCCCCCCCTCCCCCTCTCTCTTTCTCTCACACACACCACACACACACGCACACACATATGCGTGCACGCTAAAGAGGGAGGAAAGGGGAAAGGGTAACCGTATCCCCCCAACATTTGCTCTAATGGGAGGCTTCCTGACAAGTAACCGGAGCAGCTTTTAGCAGTGAAGTGACAGCACTCAGGTTACCAACGGACGGGGGAAACACCCAGAAAGTGATACATTGGTATAATTCACTGTGGGAAATATCCAGCATGGTATTGTATCTCATTTAATACCTTCTGCTTTTGAACAACCTTTTTAAAATGTACAATCACCGAAACAACCGCTCCGGCAACTTTGTTAGGTTCTTAATTTAACTTAATTGCAGTCAATCCATCAGCAGATTACTCAGGACAACTCTAATACTTGTGGTTCAGTTTGCAAACAAAGATTCTCTATTTGAGAAACTTAAAACTGTCCTCAGATCATGACAGTCTGCTCTATTTACAGGAGATAGCTGCTACAGAAAAGATACTGATCAGTGAACATTGTAACAAATTGCGTTAAGAGTAAATTCCCTCTGACTTCGATAACTTATTTTGACATACTTCCCCACAGTCAGTAACACAGTTAATAATTTATTTATCATGGTTTAGAACTTTAGACTAATAATTAAAAGCAAGTCTGTTGTTTTGCAAATATAGAAACGTGTTCGGCCTGTTATAAAACCGAAAAGGTAATTTGTTCTCTATTTTTTATTCTATACTGTAATATTTTATTATTGTTGTAATTTTTTATAACCCAAGTTATTGTGGTGCACAAATGCAGACTGTTTTATGTTTACTTGGCAAATACATTTTCACAGAAGAAGGTTGTATAATGGTTCTCAGTGTATTTATTTCCCAACCTTGACACTCTTCTTAGATTCATGTTTCATTTGGGCTTAACTCGAGATTCAAGTTGGGATTTCTTTAGCTGGAGATGGGCTACAAGCCCAGGCATTTAGTTCTCATTATGGTCCGGCAAATATTTTGGTATTTCTGAAATGAAAAATGCTAGCAAACTCTCCACAGTTTTAGTATTTAAAGTCAGCAATCACACTTTCCCAGTTCCTGGAGCGCATGCTTGTTTTCTTTACTTGAAAGTAGCAAATTGAAATGTTCTTCTCTGTATTTTTCTATGAAGAGCCTGGAACAATTTTACACTGCGGCTTCAAACAGATTTCACTGTAAAGGCATGAAATTACCTCAAATTGCAACCTTTTGTAACCGCAGAATACTTACTCCTTCACACCGCTAGCATCAATCGAGTCAACTGTGACTTCAGATGGTTCACTATCTTTACAACCCTGACTTTACATATCTATTTCAAAAAACCATTGCCATGGGACGGAGAAAACTGAGCCTTGGATTAGGGGGGGATTATGAAGCATTACATGGCACATGCCCTCAGTGTTGTCAAGTCCACAGATTGTTTTTAAAGATGTGGAGTTGTATGTCTAACCTTGGAGCAGGTTAGTGTTGGCATTGGTGTCGTAGAGTTTCTTTTCTTATTTCTTTTCTCTTACTTATTGAACAATCTCTACTTCACTGTCATGATTCTGTCAAAGCTTACAAAGCAGTTCACTAAAATATGACACACTTTATTGGATAGCTGTTGCATTCTTCCTGCATTTTCAGTTAAAAGTGTTTCTTGTATACTGTCATTTTAACACTTGCGTTTTTCCTTAATACTGTGTTTTCTCTTTATAAAAAACAGAACAGTTGTTTTTTCTCTACACAATATCATCAGACTAATCTAATTTTATGGATTTTTGCTCTGTAGTCACTCTTAACTGTATGCAATGAGATCTCACTATTTGTGTCAAAATGTTTAATTTGTGATCTTTTATATTTTTTCTCCAGTTCTTCCTGTGCTCAGTCTATGTGCCGATGTGCACCGACAAGGTTCCCATCCCCATTGGTCCCTGTGGTAGCATGTGTCTGTCCGTCAAGAGGAAGTGCCTCCCGGTGCTTCACGAGTTTGGCTTCATATGGCCTGAGGTAATTTAAATCATCACAACAACAGCCTGCATGTCTTCCCAAATATAACTTAAGGATGAAGTTGTGTCATGTGGAATATGGTTAATACTAAACCAAAGTCTTTGAGAAAATCAGCACAAAATGCTGTTGACAGTGTATCACATCACAGCCATAATGAGCAAACAAAATGACAATTAACACCATGTCTCTTCTCCAGGTGCTGAACTGCAGCCTCTTTCCACCGCAAAACGACCACAACCACATGTGCATGGAGGGCCCGGGGGACGAGGAACCTCCCTACCAGCCTTTTCGTATTCCTCCCCACCCGGAGGAGTGTCAGGCACTGGGATCGGAACCTGACCAGTATACCTGGTTAAAACAGTCCGAAAGCTGTGCTCTTCAGTGTGGCTACGACAGCGGGCTGTACCGCAGAGGGGCCAAAGTCTTCACCGACGCCTGGATGGCGGTGTGGGCCGTGCTGTGCTTCCTGTCGACCACTCTGACGGTCCTGACCTTCCTGTTGGATTCACAGCGCTTCTCCTACCCTGAAAGGCCCATCATCTTCCTGTCTATGTGCTGTAATCTGTACAGTGTGGCCTACCTGGTAAGTGTTCAGTTTTATACTGGCCCATTAAAGTGGAGTGTTTTGAGAGAATGAATAACAATAAATCTATAATACATAAAACACAATTTAGATTATAGTAGCTTTTTATAAATTTAATAATTTGTGAAAAAAATGATGTTGTATGTTTGTATTTTGCTAGAGCGGTATGTTAATAAATGTGTTATACGCTTTTATCGTATTTTTACGAGGGACACTAGATTAAACTTAAAGGTATGACAGCCTAGTAAGCCAACATCTGCATGCTTAGGGTTTTCCAAGCTTTGTCCAATAAATTAATTCAATCAAATCTATTAAAGCCAAAGAACTGGATGTTCTGTCCACTGTGAAGCACTTTTGATTGCAAATTCAGTATGAAAGATGCTATACAAACCAAGCTTATTATTATTAATACAGATATTCAATCAAGTAATGTTCATTTACATGGACACATTAGATGTACCATCTGGATATAATTGGAAATAATCATATTGTGAATTTGTATTTTTCTTTTAATAAGAAAAGAATCTCTGTTTACCATAACCCTAACCCGTTTTCCCTTTTTCTTCCTACTATCAATTTCCTGCAGGTACGCTTGACACTGGGGAGGGAGCGTGTTTCCTGCGACCTCGATGCCACGGCAGTGCCGATTCTGGTGCAAGAAGGGTTAAAGAGCACCGGCTGTGCCATAGTCTTCCTTCTGCTCTACTTCTTTGGTATGGCTTCCTCACTTTGGTAAGTTAAAAAAACACAAACACTCACTTTTCATCCTATCAATCTGCGCGTCTTTGTCTCATTGTCATCAGCTGTTTTGAATGGACTTTGGTGGAACAATGGGAACACGAGACTTGCATCCTGTTTTCTTTAAAGTCTAACTATCCTGTCTCATAATCTCTGTACTAGATGGATTCATTTCCACACACAAAGGCTGCCTTTGTAAAAAGCCACTTTTTGAGTTCATAGAGCACTTCATTTGCTGTCACAGCTCTTTCTCTTCCTTTTTCCTCGTTTTTTCTGTTGGTCCTCAGTGTTTCCTTTTCGAAGAGCAGAATAGTGACATCACTGCCTCCTATAACATGATCACAACCCTCTGTTATTCAGCACATTACTATCCCATGATGAGGTAGACACTATAGAGTGCGAAGTTAAGTTTTGAGCAGTGGTTAGTCCAATATTGCAACAGCTTCTTACTTCCAGGAAACACATAATTGTTATTGGCAACCAAAATGAATGCCAGTTACAGAAGACAATCTGATACATGTAAATAAGAGCAGTGTTTTGACTTTTCACTCACTCTTCCTGCTCTCTCTTTAGGTGGGTAATCCTGACCCTCACTTGGTTCTTGGCTGCTGGACTGAAGTGGGGCCATGAGGCTATTGAAATGCACAGCTCCTACTTCCACATAGCAGCCTGGGCCATCCCCGCTGTTAAAACTATCGTCATCCTCATAATGCGACTGGTGGATGCAGACGACCTAACTGGACTCTGTTATGTTGGCAACCTGCAGCAGGAAGCGCTCACCGGCTTTGTGGTGGCTCCACTGGCCACATACCTTCTAATAGGTAACTACAACATGATAGTACAATCAGGTTAACTGTTTCTCTGGGGTTTTACCCATTTGTACTTAAGAACTAATAGCATATACCAACATTTGACTCACTAAGACCAAGTTATCATTCTTAAACCTGTATAATCAGACCTTATTCAACTGTCATTGGGTTTTCTCTATCTGCTGGTCTTAACATGACGCTTTTCTGAACCTCAGGCACTCTGTTCATCTGTGCTGGCCTGGTGGCTCTTTTCAAGATCCGCTCCAATCTGCAGAAGGACGGCGCCAAAACAGACAAGCTGGAGCGTTTAATGGTGAAGATCGGAGTGTTTTCTGTTCTCTACACTGTTCCAGCATCGACTGTCATTGGCTGTTACCTCTACCAGCTCTCTCACTGGGGGGAGTTCAAGGCCAGCACCCGGGACTCATACATGGCATCAGAGATGCTTCGAATCTTTATGTCACTGCTTGTAGGCATCACATCAGGCATGTGGATCTGGTCAGCAAAAACCCTCCACACCTGGCAGCGGTGCACGGCCCGCCTCCTCAGAGACAGCAGGGCGAGCCGGGGGGGCAAGAGGGCACCGGGCGAGGGCTGGATCAAACCGGGGAAAGGCAACGAGACAGTTGTGTGACAGAAATAGAGGAAGGGACATAAATGGACTTCAACATTCTTCTCTGTCAATTGCAGAAACTGACTGTCAATGAAGAGGACCGAGAACAAAATGAGAGGGAGTAGCAGGAGCTTCTCAAGGAAAGGCATTGGATGTAAAAGGCATCGAAAAAAAGCTTGCCGAGAGCATTCCCCTTCTCTTCAAACTGCCTCTAACCGGTGTTATGGAGAAGAAAAGTGGAGGATTGAGTCGTAAAAGTAGCAAGAGTAGCCTCTACCTCTGTTAGACTTGATTTTCCCAGAGAGATGAATAAACCGGAAAAGGAAGGAGAAAGAGAGATGGAAAAGGCAGGAAAATGCAATCAAGACACAGCGATAAGCTGTGTAGCATCACGTCGACCTCTCTGCCTCTCTTTCCTCCCTGAGCAGAAGAGACTGAACCCGCTGGAGACAGTTGGCCTCATCCAATGTGTCTTTGGAGGGTCTTTTGAAGTTCTGAATTTTACACTGGAGGGTCCTGATGCAGACATTGTACAGATGAAAGTTGACGTTTCCTAAAAGCACCTGACAACTTGAGTTCCTGTAGGGCTTTTAGTTCCATATGGGAAAATCAAAAATCAAATACCAGAACAACCGCATCTAAAATATAAAACATGGCCTTCAACCTGTGATTTGTTACATTTTTGTAAATGATTACCGTTTCTAAAATATAAAACAGCAGGGGATTGTATTGCTCAGAATTATTTGGGAAAGCAGCTTTGAGCTGTATATGCACTATAACTTTATTCAATATGTGTCTATGCGTGTCACAAGTGCATTACCAGGGACGGCAGTGATGTAATAGCAAATCATCACCCAGCATATTAGCATGCAGACTTTAACAGTTTGGTCAGGTTTTATTGTGAAGGCTTCAGAAAAATAACTTGTGTGGTTTTATTCAAAATCACTTTTCTTGCAAATATTTTTAACGGCAAGAGCAATAGATTATTTTTCCTGTCTTAGGTTAAAGGTGGGGTAGGTAAGTTTGAGAAACCGGCTCGAGATACACTTGTTGTTATATTCCATGGAATACTCTTAACATCCCGATAGCAATGAATATCTGAAGTGCTTTGACAAAAAATACATAAAAAAATGTCAACTGTGGAAGCCGTAGTACTGTAAAAAACACGACCAATCATCTGAGCCGGCCCGGCTAAAATAACTGGATGGCCTACCTGCCTGTCAGCCTTCCATCTTGTGCACAAACTTATCTCGTGCCCTCATTGGTCATGTACGTGTTCGTGTGTGTTGGAGGAGGGGCTCTGTAAGGAAGTGGCAGATTTTTTCCGGCTGTGTATTTTCAAATTCTAGCGCACTCGAGCTGGTTTCTCCAAAATTACCTACCCCACCTTTAAGTCTGTGGTAGCTATAAATACGTACCGCAATGAATACTGGGAGGATCCCAGATCTGCCTGTTATTTACCCGTTAATATGAAAGCCGTAAGGCTTCTGGGAAATGTAGGCGTGTGAGTTTTACCTCAGTAATCTATGAAAATCACAGCTTACTTCCACTAATAAGCGCTGTCTTTGTTGAAACCCTGTACTGCATATGCTCTTGAGTTACCACAAAGTGGGAAATTAAATGATTCCCTCTGTCCTTGTTTCCAAACATCGGACCCTAGACAAGCTGAAGAGTGAGAGGTTATTAGACAATCACTTGCCAAAAGAAACATTATGCAATAACAAAGAGCTATCACTGACAGAGTGACACATGCATGTGCACAAAAACATTTATGCAGGTGAATACACAGCAATCAGTTTCCACAAATCTCAACCGCCATGGGCTATTATTACTATCATAATGATAATACCTATATTGAGACAATATCTGCCTCATTTTGTCTCTTTTCTTTCTGTCTGTTTTTTGTCCGTGTCTCTTTGGCCCGCTGCCTGCCTGTCTCTTTAACCTTGTCCATTGCATCATGGCTCATTTACCAGACAATCAAGTCATCCCAGGAAATAATGTTCTAAATGATATTTCAAATCTTCATGGATTACAGAGCCATGACTTCTTGTTCATTGTCTGTAGTGGTGCATTTCCATGATAATGGGCATCTCCCAACATCTGAACCTTGCAGTTCTTCTCTATAATTGCTTATAGTGCCAATTAAAGTAGTTGTTTCTGGTCTTACTGCTGGACCCACCAAAAATGTGCAACTGCTCCAGTGCACTGTATATTTGCCTGACAATCTATCAAGCAAAGCTCTTGCGTTTCAGTGAGTCTTTGAATGTGTAATACCGAATGTGGGCCATGTGTCACATTGATTTCTACATTTAAGTAGAGACAAGAAAATGACTGGGCTGTTTAAATGTATAAGGGGTAAGAATAAGTTGGTGTGTCATTTGAAACCAGTTAGTGCCTCACAAAGTCCTGTCACAGGTATTTTTAAGACAATGTTTAGATTGGGACGGAAAATACAGTGTGTATTTCCATGGGCCCAAAATATGCTTAATGTAACAACACCCTTATTGCATTTAAACATACTTTTGGAAAATCATAGAAACCTGAAATACCAGTGTTACTCAAACCATGATACATGGGCACTCTTATTACATTTCCAAAGTCAAACAAACCTTACAGAGAGAACCCCCAACCACCTCCCCTCTGAGCTAATGCTGTTTCCCCTTGAAACTGCCTTAATGTTCTGGCTCTCTAACCAAGTATGACCATGCTGAGCTTCAGGTGACATTTCCAAACAATCACCGTGCCTTGAAACATACCGAGTTTGCCCACTGCCCAGCGTAATGAAGATTGAGAACCACTGGTGATACAGATTTCTTACTGCTTTTCGGGACGCCCAGAAATGTGTTATTGTTAGGGATCAGTTCACCAACAGTGATGATAGTCCTCAAAGGTCTAAACTGTTTCGTTTGTGTCGAAATCTCATTGTTGTGATGATGTCATCAATGTATTATTAAGAAATTGCTAATTTATCCTTGTAAAAAAGTGACAATTTTTGTTAAACTTAACTGTTACTTTACTGTTATTTAAAACACTTTTGTATCAGAAGATGATGATGAATAAAAACGTTTTGGTTTCCAATAATGTGGATGACATTTTATGTGTTTTAATGGATACAAGAAAATGGCTCTTCCAATAGTTTTTCAGACTGACAATTTCAAATCATAAAACACATGTTAACTGTCACATAAGGCAAATAACAGCAGTATTTGCTACCTTTGCTTGTAAAATGATAAAGATCAACTATCCGCTAACTGCCTTGATGATTAAAAACTAATTGGTTCAAGTCTCAATATAATTAACAACCAGTATCATAGATTCATGCATTAACAATAAGAATGAATCGGCCTACAATGCATGTCTCAGTTGTGTTAATTTAATGGGTTGAACAATGCTGCCACCTCTTGTCTGATGAGACAAATTAAGCGTTGTTGCTTTATCATATAGAAACTTTCTCTACACATATATATACAGCTGCTACTCCGTTTAGATCTTTCTCGCATTTCTTTTTAAGCGTTTCTTTGGCTTAGGCTGAGAAATGCTTCATAACCACTAAACTTGTTTGAATCCACAATGGAAACTCAGTAATTACTGTGTAAACATGCCAGTACCATCCATCACATCTCATTAGCTATGAACTTGCAACATCCCCTACACACACGCTAACTCGCTGACAGTACACAAAGACACACACACACACACACACACACAGACACACCTCCTCCTGCTTCAGAATTAGCTGAAATTTGGGTTTTACAATTACACTCAATGCACGCTAGACTCTAATTGACCAAAACATGGGTAAAATTGCATCAGGAAAAACTGATTAATTCTGGGCATGCTTACTGTGTGTGTGTGTGTGTGTGTGTGTGTGTGTGTGTGTGTGTGTGTGTGTGTGTGTGTGTGTGTGTGTGTGTTTTGACAGAAAGAAGGAGAGAGAAAGAGATTCCAAATATCTAAGTCTGCAGCTCCAATTTCCTTCCTGTAATTTACTATGAGTGAATTGAGTGTTTGTTTAAGAGCTCGCTGAAAAGCCTGAGGTAAAAGGAAAGTGACAGCATCTACGGCTCTATTGTTTCCAGATGTGGCTTTACCACACACACACACACACACACACACACACACACACACACACACACAGACACACTCCAAACAAAAATTCTAATTCGCACACAGAGAAAGAGGAGTTACATTTGAGTGTGTGTGTGTGTGTGTGTGTGTGTGTGTGTGTGTGTGTGTGTGTGTGTGTGTGTGTGTGTGTGTGTGTGTGTGTGTGTGTGTGTGTGACACACAACTGAATGCCACAGATCATTTTATATCCAGGTTTCTATTTCAGTGGTTATTTAGAGATTTAGTAACCTGTCACACACACATCTTTCACAGCTGAGAGCTCACCCTAAAGGCTGATTTTCCAACCGTAAAATAACAGAAAACTCCACTTCTAGCTTTAATTATTATTACTCACATTGACAGATTTACAGTATTACCTCAGGATATTCACTCCTGTGGTAAAACACAGATGCCCACCAAGTGACACGCACTTGTTGCACTCTGTTAGAAGACAGCATGTTGGTATTCCTTTTTTACAACGCTGAAATGTGAAAGGGCCCTATTAAAATTCTTTGGACATATATTCCTGGGAATGTATTTTACTCTGCATGGAAATCTGTGTGTGTGTGTGTGTGTGTGTGTGTGTGTGTGTGTGTGTGTGTGTGTGTGTGTGTGTGTGTGTGTGTGTGTGTGTGTGTGTGAGAAGGATGGAAAGAGCGAAAGATGTGCTGAAATAAGCAGAAACTCACTAGAAACAGAAGAAGTAAAAGAAAATGTGGAGAACAAAATAGAGAGGAGAAAGAAAGTATGAGAGATTGAGCGTGAGGAAGGGGAAAGGAAATCTGTCATCCTCCAACAGCAGAATGCTGCAGCTGTTCCCTCTCGGCAATGTTGAAATCGTTTCCCCATTCTGCTCAGCGTCTCCTCTGCATGAATAGTTTTGAGTAATGGCCACCACTAGAGATTCTGGGTGACGTAGTTGTCTTTCCCCGAGAGCCAATTTGGTGCAAGAAGGATTTGTAAATCCCGGTCCTCCGGCCAAACAAGTAACGAGTTGAGACTGCAATCCAAAAGTCCAGCCAAGAGGGGATTGGAGAATTATCCACATTAGGCTGTAACAGAGAACGCTTTATACATGGGGTGTGAAGAATTGGGATTCATTTCATTTTACAGAAAGATGTTCTGCATGACAGAGTTTATTATGGATTATGTTTGATAGGGTAAACTGCACGAATCATCAAGGAAGTGCTAGGAAGTGTTGATTGATTAAGTGGTTGCATATATTTGCATTGAAAGACCTATATGCATGTGTTTATTGTTTAATGCTATGGTTTATGCAAATCAACCAAATGTCTTCATTCATTCCATTCTATTAAGATGTTTTTCCCTCACAAAGTATACATATGTAATCAACTGAAAATACAACATTGGACTAAACTTTGTATTTACACATGACAAGTTGATGCTGTCAAGGTTACACCCAGACAAGGCAGATACTCTATGGTTACATCCAGTGCCCTTTGTCACCACTAGGTGTCACTCTATGTCCAGACCACACCATTGTAAGCACATATTGGTGAATCAAGAATGCATCTCTAGGATATATTTGACCCACTAATTAAATCCAACACATTACTAGGAAGCCTTTTGTTTTTTTAAAGAAGAGCAAGATTTTTCAAATTTAATTTGATGTTACTTTACATTGATATTTTTCTGTGACTTCTATTTCTCTTCATTTCTGAATTTGTAACTATTATACATGTTGCAATATAAATCATATTACTTTGTTTTCTTCACTACTTATCACAGATATAGTTACTCATTACTACTTTAGCCAGCAAGATGGATGTGAAGCTATTCTGCTAATTACGTAATGTTATCAAACCCAATGTTCAAATAATAATGATGAAGTGTAAGTTGTTCTGCCATAATAGGAACAACAAACCAACAGAAGGGTGAGAGAAATGTTGATCATGCACAGTTCATACACGCCCACACAGTTCTGTGAGTGTTAACTA